CACGGCAGCTGGCAGGAAGCTGCAGGAGAACCGGGGCAGTTTCCATGCCGGGGGTCCTGGCGCCAGGCAGCATCATCACAGCCAGTATGAAATCCCCCCCCGGCTCCCCACCCCAGTCTCCTATCAAGGGATGAGAAAAACTCACAGAGCAGACCTGCTGGCGGTGAGGATGGAGCCCAGCACGGTGGGATGGCATGCACATGGCCCCGGGACCCAGCAGCACCTCCATTGCAGGGAAATGCCATCGCCCGGGGCCATGCTACTGGTCTGGCCAGCCCGGTGGAGGACAAGGACAGTGTCACAGGGCAGGCTGGGGACCTGAGCCTGTTTCTCACAGGTCTCTGGTCACCACGTGCTGCTGCAGATCCAAACTTGGGGCTCTGGGAGGAGCTGGTTAGCAAAGCTATCTTGCAGCGAGCATCTCATGAGGTGTCCGTGTCCTCTGCCAGGACAAACCCAGGTGTGGGTCAGGGAAGGTGAAGAGAAGCCACTCTCTCACAAAGGAGCCTTTCCCCATTCAGGTGTGCAGCAGCCTGAAATATCAGCCCCAATTTTCTTGCACTCCGGACTCCAAAGCGGGAGGTTCTCCACCTTGCCCCACAGCACACACAGGAGGTCTCCTGCCCCCTGCTCATCCCTGCCCGCAAGGCCATGTGGCACCAAACACCCAAACCCAAGTTGCACTGACCACCTTGCCCACCGGCAGAGATCACTCGCAGTGACCTCGTATTCTTCCAGCTGGATGGAGCCACCAAAAGCCTCTGCTATTTCCAAATCACATGGTTTTATCAAGGATTTTTCAACCCAAGGTCTGCACCTCACCAGGCAGACAGCAGCAGAGGGGTGGCAGGAGCTGTTTTCAAACAGCAGCTTGGAGAGAGGACCTGAACTATCTCAGAAAGCACTGACAGATGCACAGACCAGCCATGAATTCATCAGCAAACAAGACCCAGCAAGAGGGAAGGGTTTCCATAGCATCGAAACCCATCACTGGGGTCAGGGCAGGTTTGCCCAGGACAGAGGAACAGTCCCATTTCTGTAAGGAGCTGCTGGGACCAAGCTGTCACCCTGGGGAGAGAACCCTGGACCAAGTCACTGTTCCCAGTCCTGGTTTGCCTCTTTTTTTTTTTTTTTTTCCCCCTTAAGAGTTGTGAAAAGTGAGATTTGCAGTGGAAAAAACTCACGTTTCAATAAAAACACCAAGGGAGGAGAGAGAGGGCTACAGACCAGCACCTAACGATGACTAGAAACACAAAGCAACCATGACTACCACAAACTCCAGAAGAAACCACCGAACCACCAGAAAACACTTCTCTCTTTGCCGATCAACAGTTTCTAAGCTAATCTGCCCGTATTTCACAGCCTGGAGGGGGCTGAGGGCCAGCCACGGACCACGGCTGCCCGGCTATAGCTTGCCGGCTGCGGCGGCCG